ATATATTGTTTACTTGATTTATTTATTATGTTCAATTATGCTACCCATGACTTGAGAAAGGTAACTTGTTGAATATGAGGGCTCTGAACCTATCAGTTTTGCACCACTAAGCTATATGCTTAGCGATTGTTGTTTCTATCGTAAGGAAAGATCGAGAGGAGGTGTGAAGCGGGCAATTGGAGATGGAGATTTTGAGAGCTTTAAGGAAGATCACATTTGCATATAGGCATCTATATTTGCATAAACCTTGGGACTTGTACATGATCTATGTGTTGTATATTTACATGAAATTTTTAGGACTAATTTGATCATGTCACCATGGGTTGTAATATAAGTATGGCTATATGTTTTGTTCTTTCGGGGTGTGTAAGCCTAAGTTTTGTAATATATTAAATTTACCACTAATTTTGAATGATTGTGTGAAGCATGAACGACCTAGTTTGGGTATCCGGAAGTTGGTAATATTTTTTTTATGTCATTTTTACTACTGTGAGGACAATATATGCATAAAAATCTCGTGATTTATTGGCTTATATTATTTCGGAAGGGTCGCTACAAGTATTGGTATCAGAGCCTAGGTTTGTGGTTCTAGGACTTTTGCTGTGAATTACTTGTACACTTGTTTGCTTTCAAAAAAAGGTTTTATTTGGATTATTTGTTCACTTACATGGTTTAAAATATTTTTTATCGCATGTGGAGTGCACATGCATCATATACATGTCCCTAATGTAATGTGATATTCCCTTTTGAAGGAATTAAGTTATGGCCTCTTCTTCTGACCGACCTATGGAACCTGCTCGTGAAGGTTCGGGTACCTCTGTTCCCCAACCTCATGCACTAGAAGAGGTTGGAGAACCTTTCTTGAATCAATATGTTCCCCACACTAGTGGGTCTGAAGTGGGAAACCATCAGGGTGTAAGAGCTGGTTCACATCCTCACATAAGTCGTAGTACTCAATCCATGAATCTTTTTTTTCAACAAATGGCTGAATTCTTCCACCACATGGCTGAAGCGATGCATGATCCCAACGTGATTAACTTTGAGAAAATGAGGAAAATGGGTGGAGTGGAGTTTGAAGGCACCGTTGATCCCAGTGATGCTGAACAATGGCTGGAGCGCATAGAGAGGGTATTTGAGCAGATAAAGTGTTCAGATGTTACCAAATTTAAGTATGCTATTTCACTATTACAAAAGGATGCGTACGATTGGTGGGTAAGTGTTCCAAATGCCAAGGTAAAACCTCTTGTTCTTACTTGGGATTATTTTCTTAGGGAATTTCGTATGAAGTATGTCCCACCTGCTTATTGTGATGCAAAAAGAAAGGAGTTTTTGAATTTAAGGCAACGAGGCATGTATATTGTTGAGTACCAACAAAGGTTTCTAAGGCTCTCTCGTTACGCTGGAGGTATTATTAAAGAGGAAAAAGACAAGTACAGGAAATTTGAAGATGGTTTAAATGATTCCATTAGAAAGAATGTGGCGATCCTGCAACATGAAAACTTTTGTAAGTTAGTGTTTGCTACTTTTACTTGGGAACGGCTTGATAAAGAAGAAGCTAGTAGAAATGAAAACAAATTCCGAAAGCCTAGACCAGATTTTGGGGGTCCATCAAAACGGGGAAGGTTTGATAATTCTAAGGCTGGTAGTGATAATAGGCCACCACAAAAAAGCAAAACATATTAGATTTTTCTATAGCTAGCACTCCAAATTATGGCCAAGGCAAGCCTCGTGTTCCCACTTGTCCGCAATGTGGAAAGAATCATTATGGTACTTGCAGGAGAGCTTCTAGTGCATGTTTCAATTGTGGGAACTTTGATCATAAACTGAAGGATTGTCCTAATCCTAATAACGCTCCTTCCTTGAGAACTGAAGCCTCAGTTATAAGCCTTTTATTAATCCTCCTCAAACTAATTGAGGTGCAAGAACTAAAAACAAGCAAGCAACATGTACAAGTGGAGCTAATCAAGCTAGTGGACAAAGGACTACTGCACGCGCTTATGCTATGAGGCAGAGGGATGAGCAAGATGGACAAAACGTGGTTGTCGGTAAATTTCACTTGTTTGGCTTATGTGTGTTTACACTGATTGATCCTGGTTCTACACATTCCTATATTTGTTCATCAGTTGTTCTTCTTGAAAATGTGAAATCTATGAGACTTAATTATGATGTGTTGGTTGAAAGTCCTTTGGGTTATCAGGTTGTGTGTAATCAAATTTATCGTGATTGTCCCTTCGTGATTCAAAACCTGGTTTTCCCTGCTGATTTGATTGAAATGCCCTTCAAGGATTTTGATGTTATCATCGAGATGGATTGGCTTCATAAATATCATGCAGTGGTAGATTGTAGGTCAAAGCATGTGACCTTTAAATATCCTACATTCTCACACATCATTGTACAAGGTGAAAGATCGTTGACATCTAGTATTATTTCTGCGATTGCTCACATAGTTGATACACAGTTGAAGAGTCCTTGTACCAAGGACATACCTGTTGTATGTGATTTTCCAGAAGTCTTCCCGGAAAACCTTCCTTGATTGCCCCCGGAAAGAGAGGTTGAATTTCCAATCGAGCTTATTTCTTGATCTACCCCTATTTCTATCACTCCTTATAGAATGGCTCCGGCAGAATTAACAGAATTGAAATCTCAATTGCAAGAACTTCTTGAGAAAGATTTTATTCGACCTAGTGTTTCTCCTTGGGGAGCTCCTGTTTTGTTCGTAAAGAAGAAAGATGGCACTCTTAGGCTTTGTATTGACTGTAGACAATTGAACAGAATAACAGTCAAGAATAGATATCCACTACCAAGGATCGATGATTTGTTTGACCAACTAGAGGGTGCTATAGTATTCTCAAAGATTGATTTAAGGTTTGGATATCACCAACTGCGTGTTAGAGAGAAAGATATTCCTAAAACTACTTCTAGAACTCGGTATAGTCATTATGAATTTTTGGTGATGCCATTCGGATTGACAAATGCTTCTGCAGTATTCATGGATCTAATGAATCGAGTATTCAAGCCTTATCTTGATCAGTTTGTGGTTGTTTTTATAGATGATATTTTAATATTTTCCAGAAATAGTGAAGACCATGATAAACACCTCCAGATTATTTTGGAAATTTTGAAGGAGAAAGAACTTTATGCTAAACTTTCCAAGTGTGAATTTTGGCTTGATGAAGTGAAGTTTCTGGGACATGTTGTATCGGCCGAAGGCATGAAGGTGGATCCAAGTAAGATACAAGCAATTGTTGAATTGAGACCTCCCAAAAGTCCAACCGAGGTAAGAAGTTTCTTAGGCTTAGCAGGATACTACATAAGATTTGTGAAAGGCTTTTCCATTATCGCCTCTCCTTTGACTAAGCTCATGCAGAAGGAAATGAAATTTATTTAGGATGACAAATGCCAAGAGATCTTTGAAACTCTCAAATCCTTGTTGACTCAAGAGCTTATAATTACTCTACCAATTGAAGGGAAAGAGTATGTAGTATACAGTGATGCTTCTCGCAATGGTCTAGGATGCGTTTTGATGCAAGAAGGGATGGTTATTTCTTATGCCTCTTGGAATTTAAAACCGCATGAATTGAATTATCCTACCCATGATTTTGAACTTACTGTTGTAGTGTTTGCTTTAAAAATATGGCAGCATTATTTGTATGGAGATAAATGTCATATATTCACTGATCACAAGAGCTTAAAGTACTTGGGTACTCAGAAGGAGCTAAACCTTCGACAACGTAGATTGCTTGAACTCATCAAGGATTATGACTGCACGATTTATTATCATCCAGGTAAAGCCAATGTGGTTGTAGATGCCTTAAGTCGAAAATCCTTTGCTAGCATTTCTTTGAGTCCTTTACCCTTGCTTCTTGAGTTAAGAGCCATGAATGTTTGTTTTACACTTGATTCAAATGGTTCAGTTATTGCTAATTTGCAAGTAAAGCCAATATTACTTGAACAGGTGAAGAAAGCACAAAAGTTGAATGAGAAACTTATAAAATTTACGAGAGAAGTTCAAAATGGGGGAAAACTTGATTTTACATTGATAGAGGATGGTGTCTTATTTTATCAGAACAAGTTAGGCGTCCCTAATGATGACAAATTGAGGAGAAAAATACTGAATGAAGCACATATTTCACCATATGCAATGCATCCTGGAGGTACAAAGATATACCAGACCATCAAAGAACATTATTGGTGGAATGGTATGAAGAGAGACATTACGGAGTTCATTTCCAAATGTTTGGTTTGTCAACAAGTAAAAGCAGAACATCATGTCCCAGTTGGTTTACTACAGCCCTTGTCGATGCCGGAATGGAAATGGGAGAGAATAACTATGGACTTTGTTTGTGGACTTCCTCGTACCTAAAGAAATCATGATGCTCTGATACCATTTTTCGTTATCAATTTTCGTGATATTAAGTTTTTTATATTTCGGATATAGTTTGTTTAATTTTCTTCTTATTTTTCTTAACTTTCTACTAGTATGTTTCTTACTATGTTTCTTATTATCCATAGCTCTGATACCATTTTTCGTAGCGGAATTCATTTTATTGGTAGGTGAGGAGTTCATGATATTTAGGTATTATTTTTGGTAGATGAGGAATATTTTTGGTAGGTGGTAGTGTGGTAGGTGAGGTATTATCTAGCCAAATTTTATTATAATATTCTTTTTTCATGGTAAAATGTAATAATATTTATTGTAATATTCTTCCGATAGTTGTTTTAATCTGAATATTTCTTTAATATTATTTATGATATATTCTAGATATAACATATCTTGGGTTCTTTGGTAAATATATAAATTTTCTTTCATTAATCGTTCTAATAGTTTTATATCTTCCGTAGATTCTATCCAGTATCGTAAATATTGGTAGTTCATTTTAATCTGAATTTATTTCTAAATCATACCATTCTATTCTTTCGTAGGTCTAAATCATGCAGGTCTATTTCATACCATTCTTGATTTAATATATCTTCTGATTCGTAATCATTAAATATTTTTCCCTATATTATTCTTCTTAATTCAATTATTTCTTATATTTTTAAGTTATATATAAGATTAAAGTTTCGTAGTTTTTTATCATTTCATCATGCATGTATGTAGTCATGTTCTTTATTATGAAGATTTTTTATTTCAAATTATTTCTTCCTATCATATTCATAATTGATTAAATTCATATTAGATCATTATGAACTAGATTATCTTTATCATGTTTTCCTGTCACTACTAGCATCGTACTTTAGCGGATACTTCCTTCTTATCAGCGCCTCAACTTTGTTTACTCCCCTAAACGGCTTTCCTCGCCTACCGGTTTCAACATTAGGATGGCATAGATTAGAAGTTTTCTCCCTGTTTCCAGTGTGCTAATAAACTAGAAATCATGATTCAAATAATTCTAATACATAATAACTAACATAAATTTATTCAATCATATATATGATATTCAGGAATATATGAAATTAGTTCTGCATATTTTTTGAACAATATACCTGTGCCTCTTGCTTAGCCATGTTATCTGAAATATCTGATTGGATTTCAGATTTATCCATTGCCAAGCCATCTGAAATATCTGATTGGATTTCAGATTTTTCC